AAACAAACAAACAAACAAACAAACAAACAAACAACAACAGTAATAATAATAATAACAACAACAATAACAATAATAATAATAATAACAATAATAAGAATAAGAATAAGCATTTTATAGCACTTTCCAGTATTCAAGGTATTACCCTGTAGGGTAAGTTGGTGTTGTACTCAGGTTGAGGTTGACAGAGGATGATGTTCTTAAGGTCCTGTTAGAGTTCATGGCTAGAGTGAGATTTGAATGAGGGAATGCCTGATTGAATTGCTTAGTCTGTTAGCTGTTATGCATTTCATTGGTCCTGATAAATATATGTCTGTCTGTCAATCTATCTACACACTGTTTGTGTGTATGTGTGTGTATAGATATAGATATATAGATATGTAGGGTGTGTGTGTGTGGATGATGTTAATCCTTGACCACTTTTCCTCCTGCAGGAGTTTCCAGAACAACTGGAATGTCTACAAGATCCTGGCCCACGTGCGCCCACCCACTGCAAAGGTAAGAGAGGGAAAATGTACATCAAGGAAGGATCACAAATCAAGGAGGGGAAGGAGCACCTGTTTTGCATACAGACTGGAGAGAGCTGCTGCCAGTCAAAAGTACAGAGTCCTCTGGGCAAAAGGAATAAATTGTCAGGCTGGGCAGACTGCCCACTTTCTGTAGTTCTACCCAAGCCTGGAAAAGACTTCTTCATGTTACCACCAAGGGAAGGCCCTCAATTCACTGCCTGAGGCCAAGCACCAAAAGTCAACCTCACTCCATTCACTCATGTCGAAAGTACTAATTGCCCAAAGGCGGGTAAGGTACGAAATCTCTCTCTCTCAATCCCTCAAAATACAACTAAAATAATAACCAATATCTAATAATTTGCTCTCTTTTCATAATTGGGTATCTAAGGCAGCTGCTTTTTTTCTGCTTAAGAGTTGGGCCGGCCCAGATTAGCTCCCGCTGTGGGATCCAGAGAGAGAGAAACATTGGAAGGGGACATTATCTATCTGAAACCAGCAGCTACATTAATGGGAATTCCTTTCTGTTCTGCAGAGTGGCTACAATTTGGCAGTGATGAACGTGGGCGCACCGGCAGCTGGCATGAATGCAGCAGTGAGGTCAACCGTCAGAATTGGTTTGATCCATGGCCACAGGATGCTGGCTGTTCATGATGGGTTCGAAGGCCTTGCTGAAGGAAAGGTAATTCCATGGTACTTCACTGTTCTCAGAAGGGTTTTTCATTGCCACCCCAAAAGAGTGTGTACTTATAGTTGCCTACCATATGTGCCAATCCATGCCTTGTGTGTGTGTATCTGAAACTCTGAAAAGGGAGTGATGAAGTGAGTGGTGTCATCCATGAAGTATTGTGTTGGGGTCAGGAGGGAGGGCCTCCAGTCTGCAAATCAAATTTCCCCCCCCCCCGGATCCCCACTCCGTCTCTTGGAAGTTCCTCAGTTATCCCTCACCCACCTCAAATCTTCCTGTCAGCAGGAAGACTGGGTAAGTGGTGGGTAAGTCTGTAGTTGGCTTTGTTTGTCTGTCATCTTCCCTACATGAAGAGGGTGAAGGGAAGACACTACAACTGTGTTTCAGGCACCATCTTGAGTTCGGATGTGAGGACTCAGGACGGAGGTGAACTTGTATTCAGCCAGCTGTTTAAGTGTCATTTGGGTGTTACTCCCCTATCACTGTCTCTATATGGAGAAGGTGGCATGTGATGTCAAGGGATGGCCATGCCCCTAAAGCTGGAGATACGGCTACACTCCTGACATCATATGGCCCATAAGAAGGCTGGTTGGAGGGTTGGGCAGGTTGCCATCCCAGACTGATCTTCTGTCCCTGAGTTATGCCATAATGGCCAAACTTCTGTTGAGTAAATTATGCCTTCATACGGATCATGATGTCACTGGCAGGGAATGATTGCCAGTAATTGAAGAGTTCCTGCTTCAATCCTTGGGCTCATCTGCAAGCAGTCTCATACAAGTGAGTTGGTTGAGCCTTGAGGTAAAAGCAGGAACTCTAGTTACCACAAATATTCCCCTCCCTCCTGTATGAGTTTACCACCACCAGCAGCAGATTGTGGGTTATTAAAATGCTCCTGCTGCTATCTCAGGTCTCATCTGACTTGTTCATAGTGAGACTGATTGTAGGTGAGTTGTGTGAGCCCTGGTCTCAAAGCAGGAACTCTTTAATTACCAGCAAGCTTCCTTTGTCAATGACATAATCACTCTTGTGCAAGCAATAATTTACTCAACAGGACATAAACCAATAAATCTGCCCACCTTTAAAGTGTCGTGTTAGTTTTGCTGCAATGTACTTTCCTCAGCTTCTCCTTTGGAAACTGAGTTATAAGGAATCCTCACCACCACTTCTTTCCCTCTCTCCTTGCAGGTTGAAGAAATTGGATGGTCAGGAGTTGGTGGCTGGACTGGAAAAGGTGGATCATGTCTTGGAACCAAAAGGTATTGCAAGGGTGTGTGTATCTTTGCAGATGTATTACTCTGTTTATAAACAAACCAACCAATACATCAGATTTTTGATATTCCCTGGTTTTTCCCCTGGTGTGCAACTGAACACATGCTTTTCACTCTCTTTGCAATGTTAAGTAGGCGTTAAGAGTTCTCTCAGTCATGGGAGGTCATTAGCTGTTTTCCCATTGATCCTGTCTCCTGGTTGCAAGGAGGTGAAGCCAGAATGGCAACACTTACAGGATTATTCAGCATCCTTCTTCAAGGGCAGATCGCTTTTCTGTGTTTTTGCACAGGGAATGAGAGAACGCTCTGATCGCTGATGTGCTGGGGCACAGAATTAGTCTCCTTTGGCAGACGCTAACTGGAAGGAGAGGAGTTGAGAGTAGTAAATCATGCAGAGGCACACCAGGTAGCCTCCTCTAAGGGGACATCTTTCTGTGGGGGTGGCTGTTTATGGAAGGATTCAAGGCTGCCATCACCATTTTCAGTGAAGCGCATCAGACTGGCTCGGTTGCCAAAAAGACTGATTTATTTTTCTCCTCCAGCAGTCCCATGGATGATGGGGTGGGGAGTGGGCGTGCTTTCGACAAGGTGTCCTCTTAAGGAGGAGATACTGATACTTGTTCTCTGATGCTTCTTATTCCCTCCCAGGACTCTGCCCAAGAAATACTTTGAGGAGATCAGCCAAACCATTGCCAGTTTCAACATTCATGGCCTGATAATTATTGGTGGCTTTGAGGTAGGTTCTGGTCAAGTCTGGACTTGAAGAGAGAAAGAGAATGGTGATAACCTGCCCTTTAGAAAATAGTAATAACAGACTGGTGGATTAATGTGCAAGCTTCCGTGTTCCACAGAATTCATTCCCCCAGTGGCCAGCTGTCTTAACCAATATCCCATCCCTAAGCTAATTCAGCAAAGGAAGGACTGTTTGGTCTTGGTCAGAGGGGTTTCTGATGAAAACCAGCCGATAGCCGCTCCTTTAGGGAGAATGATCATCGGGAGTGTACAGATCAAAGTAAAGAAAATACAGTAGGACCCCATATCCACGGGGGATTGGTTGAAAACCACAAATACTGTAACAGCAAATGATACACATAGCATGGTAGAAGAAGAAAAATCCAGAACAAGTATTTTCACCATCTATTAACAGAACTGGCCACTAGAGGGAGCGAGAGACCATACTATGTATTCATGTTATTTAAGAAGACATAGTACACTAGTCTCTGGTGCTCTCTAAAGGCTAGATCAGGTAATGGCCAGTTCTCGATACAGGGATCCTACTGTACAGCTCAGTTTGAAGAGCTAAAGAGAAAGCTCTGCGTGGTTGCTGATTTATAGTTTTCCTTAAGAGCTGACCTCAGGCAGATCTTGTTCGTTGATGCACTTCTCCTGCATCAAAGCAATGAAATTGAGAGCAACTGTAGTCTTTTTCATTTTCTTAGGCTTTCACTGGCAGCCTGGAGATGGTCGAGGGCCGAGCCAAATTCGAAGAGCTCTGTATCCCAATCTGCGTGATCCCTGCCACTGTCTCCAATAACGTCCCTGGCTCTGACTTCAGCATCGGGGCAGACACAGCCCTCAACACTATCACGACGGTAAGGCCGCCCGCAGCATCCCATTTCCGGCTCAGCAAGTTGGGAAGAGAATTGGGGAAAGAACTGATTTCCCTCTGGGTAAAGCTTGATAGCTGTCTGACGTGATGTTTTTACAGCTGAAAATATGCCTGCACCACAGATGCAGTAGAAATAACAGAGATTCTGTCCCAGTTGGTGATGAACAACAGTTCCCATCAGCCTTAGCCAGCAGGGCTCCACTGGTAGGAGATGATTGGAACTGTGGTTCAGGACCTCTGGGAAGTTCAAAGTTATGACCCCACTTCCGCAGACAGAGGGCTACATTTCAGCTAGTAATCTAACAGTTTCAGTTATGCTTTTTAAAAAGTTTCTAGTCCTCAAGGTTTTGGGTTTTAAGCAGCACTTAATATAAAACACAGGTTAGGAGTTTTTTCCCTTACCACTTGAGACTTGTGCTTTTTTTCAAGACAGGACAATACAAACTGTATTTTCCCAGAATGATCACTTGTTTTATTCTACAAAAGGACGGGTATGTATGTTATTGGATTTTTTTTGTCCCCTAGACCTGTGACCGTATCAAGCAGTCTGCCGCTGGCACCAAGAGACGGGTTTTCATCATTGAGACCATGGGAGGCTACTGTGGCTACTTGGCTACCATGGCAGGCTTGTCTGCCGGAGCAGATGCAGCCTACATTTACGAAGACCCTTTCACCATCCATGATTTAGAGGTGAACTCTTTTTTTTTTACAAAGTCTTCAGAGATCAGGGGTCATTTCCTTACCAGAAGCATGTCGGCTCCTGGGACATCAGCTTGTGTGAATCCTTCCCAGGACAGGAAAGGGCTGGACTTTCATGGTAGCAGCACATTGCAGGTTCAATCTTCAGCATCTCCAGCGAGGGCTGGAACCACTCCCCCAACCCCCTTCGAGGGCTTTTTTCCATAAAGCCTTTGTGGTCTGCTGTAATTGTTTTTACTACAGTTCCCATCAGTCCTACCCACCATAGCCAATAAACGAGGATGATAAGAGTTGGACTCCAACATGTCCAACAAGACTTTCCATGAACAATACTTAGCTTGATGGCCCAATGGTCTGAGAAAGTATAAGGCAGCTTCCGTATGTCCCTCACTGACTGACTTCCAGGCCAATTTGGCAATAGTAATTCCAAACCTAGGTGTCTGGACAACAAGGAAATGGGCACAGGAAGGAGCGTCAGCTGTTATCACTGCATGATGCCCTGTTCTGATCAGTCAGCCAACCAGCTTCTTTGGGAAGTGGACGGTTCTCTCTGGGCTTTGCCTTGACTGCAATCGAAATGTTATCAGTTCTAATAGAAAGGCAGGGTTGAATTTCCTCCTTCCCATTGGAAGCAGTCATTTCTAACACAAGTTACAATGGGATCGCCTGCCTTCAGAAGGGGCTGTTTTTTGTATCTCTGCTTAAAGTCATTTCTCCAGGCTTCCCTAGAGCAGTGATCCTCAAGCCTTCACCACCACCTCTGCTGGCCAGGATTTCTGGGAGTTGAAGTCCAAGAACATCTGGAGCCCCAAAGTTGGGGACCACTGCCCTAGAGGCAGGAGGCCAAAAACACAGTGTTTCCCCCCGATGGACAATTAATTCCTAATTTTGCTTACTTCTAAAAGTCCAGTTTCTCAGACTGCTAGAGAGAAGCCATCCAATTTTAATTCAGCAGGAAAAATGACCCCCCATGACTGGAAATTATTATATCTTCACATGCTGAAATTGTACATGTCTATCTCTGTGCCCTACCAGTGATGTGAAATGGATTTGGACGTATATACAGCCTGAGTGTTGCTAAATGAATAGGTGGAATCTTGTCACATTCATAATCTCCAGTGTGTGCCCTAATGCAAATTTCAGGCACACCTCCAGCCCATTTCTACTCATAATCCTGCTACTCGCAAGTCTCTCCAAGGATGCTGTTGCGTGTCTTCTGAATTTGTGCGGCACATTCAGGAACAGTACATTTGGAGTGCAGTGCGCTCCTCTGTCGTTTTGAACACACGACCTCCCTGCTTCCTTCCATAAGAATTCTGAGAAACAAGGCTGTTATTTCTTGGGTTCACAGATGAATGTCCACCATCTGACTGAGAAGATGAAGACCACAGTGAAGAGAGGTCTTATACTGAGGTATCTGGATGTATTTAATTGGGAGAGACAAAAGGGGATTTGATGCTGTTCTCTTGTAACGACAAAGCAACCCCTGCTGTTGGATGGGTGACGGAAGCAGTTCTGACTCTCTGCTGACGGCAGGGTGGATTTGATTTAAATCAAGTTGATTTAAATCATAGTTTAGATTTTAAAAATCTGATTTTTTTGACAATTTAAATCAAATTACTTTTAAAAATTGAAATCACGATTTAAATCATGATTCAAAAACATGGGTTTAAATCATTGACTGCGGACACTGACATTGCCCCCCCCCCCATTCAGGGGCAAGCTGCTCTGTCACAATTTCACTGGAAGGTGCCAATTGGCTAACAAGGGGGTGGACAACAGGTAGCCCCCAAAGTCAATTGTATGCCCACTTACCTAAAGCTCTTTGAGAAATATTGCTGCCAAATCCTGAGGGCAAATAGGAAGAAACCCAATTTAAGCAAAAAAATAAGGAAATGCTTACATCCAAATTGTAATTGTTTGCTACCGAATTTGGGTGGCAAATGGCTACGAGCCCTTTAAAGCAAGAAACATCCCTTCCCCTTCTGCCCAAACCACACAAGGGTTGTTAACATTCATGGCAGTGGGAAGGTATGTCATATGACTCCTCTTTGGGAGAAAGGTGGGGTATATATAATAATCTTTTATTTTTTATTAAATATAATAAAAAATTAAAAAGGGTGGATAGACTAAGATTTAGACAGAGAGAGATTAGATTAAGATAGACAGATAGACAGAGAGAAATGAATAGAGAGCACTGAACTCTGCCTCAGGAGACCAGGATTCAAATCTGCACCACTTGTTGAACTTCTGATATACAGTACTTTGAAAACCCTGTGAGGTTTTCACCTTTAAGTCAGAAGTGACTTGAAGGCACATAAACAACAAAGGCAATCAGTAAAGCCACAGAAAAGAGGCAAGGTCTCAGCCGGGTAAAGCTCCAGGAAACCTACCAGGCCCTGAGACAAAGATGTTCTAGATATAGAGGTCAGTTTAAGACCATCATGCAAGAGTTCTCAACCAACCCCTGAACATGGCATTTTCTTCACCTTCTATGTTGTTTTCTTTGTTGCTTCCCATATTTCTTTGTGCTCTTGGCGTCTCTAAAGACCCACCTTTCTTATATGACTTGAATTTCTTCTCTCTCCCCGGCTCAGAAATGAAAAATGCAATGAGAACTATACCACTGATTTTATATACAATCTGTATTCCGAGGAAGGAAAAGGCATCTTTGACACCAGAAAGAATGTTTTGGGACACATGCAGCAGGTATGTCTGGGTCATGAGAACCTTGCTATGTTGATTGCGCCCAAATAGTATTAAGAATAGCATCCATAGCCTGATGAAAAGGAGAGAAACTGATACAAAACAAGTGGGTCAGGTAGAAAGTCCTCAGAGATCTGGCCTGACCTACCAGCTTTGAGTGGGTCTGAGAGTCCTATGTACCATTTCAAATTGAACATTGACTTATTCCCTGTTTGGGTATCTTGGAGAATATGAAAACCTTAATCCCACTGACATGTAACTATGGTTTTCTGCTAGGTGAACAATCTCTGTTCCCCTCTTTTCTTTTCTTTTCTTTTGTTCTGTAACTATGGTTTTCTGCTAGGTGAACAAGCTCTCTTCCTCTCTTTTCTTTTCTTCTGTTCCATCAACTTGTGATGTCCTAACTTAGAAACGTGGTTTGTCCCTTAAACTATAGTATATGACAACAAATCAGGATCAAAACATAGTTTCAATTTCCACCTTCTTCTCATCCCACCTTTTTTTCTCTGCATCGTCTGACACCACCTCACATAATTTTCCAGAGCAAATTTTCTGGGGGATGGGGAGCAGCTAGGGGCAGAAGGAAATCATCGAGAATTCCTGCCCCACTCCTTTCTTCCAATGAGAACATCCAGCAGTTCATAGACTTCTGCTCGCTGCAACTCTGGAGCCAGCCAGTTTGAACAGTTTGCGGTCATTTTCGGAGTTGCTGCTCTTACTGTTTACTATGCAGATTGAAATTAGTTATCTATTCATTTTGAACAAAACTTGGAAGCATATATTCAATACTAATTTTCATCTAGAGCAGTGGTGGTGAACCTTTTTTGGGGGTGGGGGAACAGCGGGTGGCATGCCGCCGCCCCGGACCAGGAAGAGCGGAACTGGAAGTGGCGATTTAAGGGGGAATCATGGCGACGAACCCGGAGGACCCCAAACCAGCATCAGAAGGGGGAATCCCAGCTGCAGCCGCCTCATGAGGTTTGGCTGAACAGGAGGGGGCGAGGGGAGTAGCGACCTAGGGCTCATGTGCCAGAAGAAAGGGCTCCACTTGCCAGCTGTGGCACATGTGGCATAGGTTCGCCATCACTGATCTAGAGATACAAGGAAGTTAATGCATAGATATCCATGGGCCTTTGTAAAGACAAGTTGGTATGTATTATTGTTGTAAATTCCACTCATTTAACTGGATGGAACATTCTAATCTGTGACTGATTTACAATGAATCCTAACGTCTGTACAATTAACCCACCTTTTGGAGACTTCTAAGCACTGCTGTATCTATGAATCACATCCCCCTGACCCCAGGTATTGCTCTTGAAGGAAAATCAAACTTGACTCTCCCTTTGTCTGCCACAGGGTGGGACGCCAACTCCGTTTGACAGAAACTTTGGGACAAAAATGGGCGCGAAATCAGTGGCGTGGATAACTGGCAAGATCAAAGAATGCACCAGACATGGTATGGGAGAAGCTTTCCCCTGGATCTTTTGTTATATCAGCTGAGTTACATACAGCTGCTGAGATGGTGACATGTGGAATTTAAAAAAGGATGAGGAGGGAATCCAGTAGTGTCTACCTCGTAGTGTGTTTATGAATGATGGAATGAAATAATGTCCTTTAGCCCTGCAGAGATGGTGGAAAATACAGGCATCTTAAAGAAATAGATGTGTCACCATGATTTGATTGTCCTGACATAACCTATACTGTATTAAGTATAAAGAGGCTACTGTTAGGACAGAATAGAGAGAATTATTTTTGATTGGCGAAAGTGTCAGACAAGGGTATACCTTGCCTCCCTGTTTATTCAACACATACACAGGACAGTTGATATGCAAAGCTAGATTAGATTCATACGAAAGTGATGTGAAAACCATTTTATATGACTCTAACCATTAAAAAAACCAATGTTTTAAGATGTGTAAATGACATCACACTGCTGTCAGAAGATAGCAATGATTTGAAACTACTACCAATGAAGGCTAAAGGCAAAAATGCACAAGCAACATCACAGATGAGCATTAAGAAGAGAACAGGAATGGTCATTTACTTAATTTAATGTTGGCAATGAAGAAATCACAATTAAAAGATTGTATCTTGCTTCTGTCATCAAATCAAAACAAAGACTGCAGCTGAGCAATGGGAAAATAGAGACTTGAAAAGTCAGCCATGAAGAACTAGAAAAGATAGTGATCTGTGAGGCTGTACCATGGGAGACTAGGATCCAGTTTCCCCATAGTATGGTATTCCCCATTATTATTTATGGATGTGAACTCTGTGCAACAAAGAGAGCTTACCAGATTTTTTGAGGGGGGGGGAATCCATTCCAAATGCAGTGTTAAAAAAAGGGTTTTAGAGATACTGCAGACCGCCAAAATAAATAAATAAATGGGTCCTAGACAAATCGTACACAGATTTTCACCAGAGGTTGAAGGACTAACCTGAGGCTATCGTGCTCTGGACATACAGAGTCAAGACTTACTGGAAAAAGCAATAATGCTAGGAAAAGTAGAAGGCAGCAGGAAAAGAGGAAGCCCTAACATGAGGCAGACTGGCTCTGTGATGTCCTGAAGGAAGGAACTCTGAAAGGAAGCCCTCCGTTTGCATTTACCTGAGCAGTCCTATTAATGTCAGGATCTCTTGGAGGTCATCTGATCCATAGGATCACCATGAGTTGGAAGCAACTGGATGTCACAGAACAAGCCTGTAAAGGGAGGCGGGCACTTATTGTTTAGCTTACTTTATCACAGAATACTCTGAAAGGAAGCCCTCCGTTTGCATTTCCCTGAGCAGTCCCATTAATGTCAGGACCTCTTGGAGGTCATCTGATCCACAGGATCACCATGAGTTGGAAGTAACTGGATGTCACAAAACAACAAACCTTTAAAAGGGAGGCAGGCAGTCATTGTTCAGCTTTACAAAAGTTAGTTTACTTTGTCACAGAATACATATGTTATTTACTGCCTAATGACAAAAACATTGAGACCCATCTGCATGTTAGATTTCAGAGTTAAGGCATCAAAGTACAGTCCAAGAAGGAGTGGCAAAGCACAGTGAGATCCATCAGGAGGTTTGGTGGCATCTCTCTAGAACGAAAAGCCAGGACAGCTTTTCCTTACTTGGTGCTCTTCCGATACACTGGATGCAATGCCTATCATCATCAGCAAGTATTGGCAAGAAACAGTGATGAAGCTATGCTTAATTTGCTTTGAGTTTCATCTCAATTGGATTACTGGAATGTGGTCTACCCAGGATTACCTTTGAAAACTTACTGGGAACTGTAGCTGGTCCATAATGCAGCTCTTAATTGTTCAATGGTAGTGGGGACTATGGGATGCCAATACTATAAACTCCTTTCTTGGCTTCTGTTTGGGTTTTTTTAGATGTAAGTACAAATATTATTTTGCAACAGTGCAGTGTCAATGGTCCTCTACATTATTTTAGAAGGTCAAAGACACTGCACTTCAGTTCCTCCTAGAAGGCTCAGCCATCGTTGTCTAAGCAATCTTCTCCCAAACCCACCCTGCCGGCTAATATGTAAGGATTTTAAACAGTGAACTTGCACTATTTCCTCTTTTTTAGGTCGTATCTTTGCCAACACTGCTGATTCAGCTTGCCTCCTGGGCATGCGCAGAAGGGCCCTCGTATTCCAGCCTCTTGCTGAACTTAAGGAAGAGACAGATTTTGAGTAAGTTTCTTCCTTGTGGCCTGAAACAGCCTGTAAAGAAATAATGCCTTAGAGTCAGCAGTTTCAAGTAATTTTCATTCCACCAAATCTGCTAGAAGCCTAAGAATCCTTCTTCAATGGACGTTTTTAGCCCCTATTTGTTCACTTAAGTTTTGACTGAAAAATCAGAAATGCAGACATGCCTATCTGTGATGTAGCAAATAAACCAGCAATTCTTTCCAAAGGGAGATGCAACCATGGCCAAAAAAGGCAACATACAAATGCAATCTTGTGGCCTTTGGAAGGACACCCCAGAGGCTAAAGGATTTTTGGGGGGAAAACAGGGACAACATTGAGGCTAGAATAGAGAATACACTTCCTAGGAGAGTCATTAGGAAGGAAGGATTTTGCTGCTGGCGCAAAGTGATCAAATAGAGGAGGTTCCTCCCTGTTTCTCCCCCATTGGATTGCTTTGGCCATAAATACAAGGAGGCACAGGAAACAGCAGGGATACCGGACAAGCACTCAAGGCCCCGCGCGTGAGTTTGAATCCAACAATGAACCTAGCAGAGCATCTCTTACTGAAACAAAGAAGGAAAGGGCAACTTGTCACCTTCAGTGGTATTTGTTTTATTTCTTTATACATTCTGTACATGTTCAATTAGTCAAACTTTACTGGTGTGACAGCCCAATTTAAAATGCCTAAAAATATAATGTATACACTAAAAGACTAGGAGGACTTCTTGAGTTAGCCCAGTTTGGGTGAAATCTAACCTCATATAGGCAGGTATCCACCCTAGCGATAGGGTGTCTCTTTTCTTCTCTGATGGATATGCTAAATTCTGCCCAAGCTTGAAACTAAGGAGTGGCCGATCTGCATGTCTGTGTAATCCCCCCCCCCAAAAAAAATATCTGGCATCACAGAATATTTTACTTGTTCCAAAGCTGAAAGCATGAGTAACTTGAGCAAACGGTGCAGAGGCAATTGGCTCAAGTTTCAGCAGAGTACTGTAACTAGTTTGTTGTCATGGCAACACTGCATTACCTTTCAAAACTGACTACTGCAAACTTCCCAAGATCCTAATGAGTCTCTCACAAGAGGCTGGCCGGCCGGGGCACTCGGGCCACAGAATGGATAATGTGAAGATTCTTACCGTATCTCTTTCCAAACAGGCATCGCATCCCCAAGTCGCAGTGGTGGCTGAAGCTTCGTCCCATCTTGAAGGTCCTGGCCAAGTACAAGATCGACTTGGATACCTCGGAGAAAGCCCACTTAGAGCACATTACTCGTAAGAGAGTATCGGGAGAAGGTGCCCTGTGAACAACTCGCAAAGCCGCTGCATCTCTCCTTTGGAGTTATGATACTTATGGAGACCTCTAAAATAAAATTCTAAATTTTCAATTCCTGCCCCAGTTAGCATGCAGCTGTCCACTGGGCATTTTTGTGTCAATGTAGGGGCTGCATGCTGGTCATGAACGGAGAAAGAAACAAGACATAGTGATGGGAGTAACATGGCTCATTTCATATAGACATACACTTGTGAGTTAAAGAAGAAACACCTGTTTTCTTACTAGTATTTCTTCAGTAAGAAGAAAGGTCAGAATAGTTTCTCTGGGGCTCTCAGTGGTCTTCTACCCAGGCACTGGCCAGATCTCCTCCTCCTGTCATTTTACCAGTGTTAGAAGACAAGCTATTCCTAGCCCATTCACTAGGCACCCTACAGACTTGTAGGGGGGTGGGGGGGGTGGAATTTGTCAAATGGTTTCAAAAGTAATCAAGTTGGAATTTGAACTAGATAATAAATTTGCTATTTGAACCTAAAATGCCATCTATCCCAGGAGGCACTCTTAAGAGTAAATTTATGGCTCTAGTGCCTTCCAAATCCAGGCTTTTCCAATTGTTTCAAATAAAAGAGAATTACGGGACTGGAGATTGTGATGTGGCTGTCCCTTGCCTCCCCCACCTGACTTCATAGCATCTTGTGGTTTTTCCTTCAGTAGCTTCGGAGTAGATGGATGGAATGGACTGACTGATTTTAATAAAGCAAGCAGCCGGCTGATGCCTATATGATACTGAGCTGCCTGTAAACTGTTCAGTTTATGATTCCAGTCCTTTGCTTTGCTCTACTCACACATAGCTCCCTACTATGAATAATCACTGCTGGGAAGGGTGTTCAAGTGAGCCTTGCGCACGCTGCTTGAAAATTTCTAAGAGATGCCTTCCCACACTTCACATGACAAGGAAGCCAAGCTATGTTGACCACTGCCAGGAAGCTGCAGGCCATGCCAGTGTCGTCTTTGTGGTGGATGGATTAGCAAACAGTTGTCTGCCTACAACTTATACTTTCATCCTCATATACACAGCTTGTAGCCATGAAAGCATTAAGGCCTATTCTATTACAGGACCATTCTGCAGCTTATTAATTCTTGATGCAGCAGTTTTCTACAAGCAGTGGGTAATGGTATGACAAACCTTCAAGGGACTGAGAAAGTGGCTGGTTCTCTGCTTGTACATGGGCATAAGCATGGGGCAGCTGTGAATGCTCTGCCAGGTAGCGAGTGAATGGTATGTTGAAGGAAATTTACTTCCTCTTCTGCAGGCAGTAAACATGTAAAGAGAACTTGCTCATCCTTTCTTCTGATCCATGTAGGCCGCCTCAAATTGAAGAAACACCTCAGGATCCAGGGGATTCCTTGCCTCTAGGCTAGAGTGAGACAGAAGTGCTGGTTTTTCTAGCCAAGATTGCTGCAACTTATGTAACCTGTTCCTGGGTCAAACTAGAGCCCTTTAAGAAGCAAGGCATACAGGCCAGTATCCTCTCAGTGCAGCACTGTGTGCAAAACAGATCTTGCCCTACATGGTTCTCCACTTCCCACCACTTTGTGCAAGGGGAAATCCACAAGCCCCCTGCACTGGCAGAGAGTCCTGCTTTGTTGGGGTTGCTTTGAGTAAGTTACTTTTGTCTTGTGTAACTGCAAGCTGGAACACAGAGTGTTTCACCTCCAGGACTGTTATACTGAAGAGCTCATTATTTCAACACACAAACGCTCCCTTTCATGCTTCTAATCCTTAAAAGTGCTAACAGCAGCAGCTGCGAGAACCAGGCAAATGAGAACTTGCATCGCTGACAGAGCAGCTGCTATGAAATGAAAAGGTCCACAACATTGCAATCCAACCTATGAAGCAGCAGCAAAATAATAAGTTGATGATAAAAGATAAAAAAATAAAAGCCACACTACAAGCCAGAAATGATGCAGAATCAACACGATAAGTCAACCTGAAAAGTGAGGAAGCCACAACCCAAAAGCCCCTGTTATGTGTGAGGACCAGCAGAACCTCTTAAGGCAGATGCGTCTTGCTGAGTGAGTGTATTCTCCTTCTACATTACCTGCATTGGTTTTCTGGTCCAGATCCACTTGCATTCAGAATATCTGGTTTTTGCCCAGCACATATCATCACAAATCTAAATTGTCCCTTTTGGATGGAGTGATCTAGAAACACATGCCTTCCCTGCATGCCTTCCACTGGCATGTTTCCCCCTCAACCCAACCCACGTGGTAGGAAACCAAATCCAAAAGCCTGCATACAGCTTGAATACTTCAAAATTAAGGTACTGTTTGTTTTACTTGCCAAGTGAAATGTTTTTTAAAAACTGTATTTGATAATTGCGGTTGACTTCACAATAAGGAACTAGAGTAGTCAAGAGTGAGAAGAGACAACAGCTAGAATTCATGCAAGCAATGCAGTCTTGTCAAAGAGGGCCTTTTCAAACCACTTACAGGTAAGGTGGAAAAGAATGTCTCTGTAGGAACTGGGAATAACAAAGGCCAACGGATGTGTTCCAAACATCCATGTCAACAAAGAAGACCCAAGGGAAAAGTGGAAGACCTTCATAGTTATTTAAAGAAGTAAAGGCCTGGAAAGCTAGCCAGACATAATTTGTGATACATTCTGGCACTCTTGCATGCAAAAGGAATGTGGAGAAGAATGTACAACCACATTGGTGCAGTTAGTTCCCACACACTTGCTTTCTTGCCTTTCTTTCATCTGTGTGCATCTGGGAAAGTTTTCATGGTGGGGATAAAGAAGTTAGGTCAAAATAGGAAAATGCTACTGTTTATACTGAGGCAGGCTGCAAAGAGGAAAGGGGACTTGCCTCTTCCTCCAGGCCTCCGATAGTCTTCCTACCACCCCCCCACAAGAACCTGACTCAATGGACAAGAAGGAAAGGACCTTGTCATCTGGATCAGTGGCTGGTGACAAGCATGTTGCTGAGTAAGTGAATGCTTTGCAGGGTCCCCGACTCAAATTCAGAAAGAAATGAAAGACCTCATTTGCCACAGTGATCAAGTTTGTGGGGCCCACCCAGCCCCACCATCTCTTACGTTAACGTTGAGACCATCCACTTAAACTAGGGTTGGCAAATGGCTGGCCCTCCCGGGTTTGTAGGACTAGAGCTCTCGTCAGTGCTAGCCAGAACAGCTAATGATGACGAACGATGCAATTTTACAGTCCAACTATATCAGGAGGGCTATGAAGTGTCCAACCTTATTTTAAGCACTTCCCCCAAAATAGTCTAGTATTAGGCAACAACAGACATTCTAGGGACCCAGTTTGGCCCCATGCATGAGCCACTTTCCTCCTAGGATTTCACCCTTTTTTAATAAACTTGTCTGCTTTCTCCAAAGTTGCCATAATGGGAAAACAGGTTGCTTTTTAAACCGTTCCAGCCACTATGAATACCAAGAAAGACTCTGCTGGAGTCCTTCCTTTATCCACAGCAACTGCACTGCATAAGCTACTCAGCCAAGAGGAATGAGCACAGAAATTTAGTGAGTTCTTCCATCATGTGAGAAGGAATCAATGGGCAGATCCAACTAAAAATCAGCTGCCACAAAGGGACTGTAGATCACAGCTGCCTCAATAAATTGAGAGACTTATCCAAGGCTTGCCAGTGTCCTCCTACCACATGCCTATAAGCCCATCGGCTCACGCTCTGTTCTGAGAGCTAAAAAACACCATCGCCAATACGCCAACTGTTTTGCTAGGTCAAGAACTGTATATTCTCTCATTCTTGCTTCCTTCTCATCTGAAATGAACCACTTGGTAATTTTCTTTCTTCTGGTATGATCCACTCTCCATTCTAAAAATCACCCTCAACTGCTCGTCCTCTTATTCCATTCCAAGACTATCAGAGCAAAGACTTTGGGGTCAGGGGTTGGTGAGGAGGGAAATCAGTCTGTTGGAGACATTTCAACAGAAAACAGGAGAAGGTCTTCACCTTGAATCACAAAAAGCAGAAGGCACAGCTATGTTCTAGATTTTGGAATTTAGCACAAAGCATTTGCAATGAAATTACACAGCAGTCTAAATGCTGTCCAGTACACCACCATGTTTAATCAACAGCCTTTTAATATCCAATACATTTGCTCACTGCATGGATCTTCCTCCATGGCATCCAAACCCTTGGATATTCAGAGCTTACAGTGGGATGCAATCCTCACTGGAGCAAGGCTCTTGAAAGCCAAAATATGCTCACTTAGACCTGAAACCCACAGGGGGGGAATTAAACAGCAGGAAAGGAGAAAGAATGCATTGGACTTCACTTATTCTATGGAAACTCTGAATGACAAGATTCGGAAATTTCTGTTGCTGTGTCTGTCTGGGGAGATGGGCAGAGAGAAATGCTTTTCCATAAACATTTATGGCTCTTGTTCACTGCATTTAAAGGTCTCAGAACACTAGACCCACTGTGCAGAGTAGCTGCCCCCCCAAAAGGCCTCCTCCAGATATGCTCGAGTACAACCCCATCAGCCATTTGACAATTCTATCATCTCTACATAAGTGCACTGCATAGCTGAAGCTTCAAGAAAAAAATCAGGCACAGCACTAGGAAACTGAAACAATGTGAGGAAAAACTAGGGGTGCAGGTGATCAGGCTGCACACCAATGCTAGGCGCAGGGCAAGAAGCCCTCGTACCACTCTGAAACTGCCAGGCATAAAAGAAAAGCAGGCGCTTAACGCCATACGTAAAACGCACTAGCACACACTTGAGTTTGTGGACAGGCGCTAACTTGCTTCTCACTAAACAACTTTGTGGAATTGGTACACACCCTGGGACCCCTCTCACTAGGACATTATTAAAATGGAAAAGAAGAAGAAAATCTCACGACAGTCTCCATGCCTTTAGACAACCACCCTGACATGCATCGTTTTATGGGCTCTGATGGGCCCATTTCCTGATTGATCTGAACATACAACAGAATGAAGTAAGAACAGGGTGCACTGTTTCAGACAGCATCTTCCCACTTGCACATTCCTGAATGCTTCTTTCTATAATAAGCAGACAGAAACAACTGAGCAAAGAAAAGGCTGCGTAGGGACTTCTCTACTAGAGATGCTTTCCTACTTAAGCGAGCATGTCCCTGTCCCTCTGTTCATTTGTCAGTCAGTTTCCAGCCAGTCTGACATGACACAACTCACGCTTATCAAGACAGTGCCACACTTTATTTTGTGGCATGTGTAAAACTGGCCAAAGTCACCACAAAACACTGCTAAGTCTTGATAGAGTTCTCTCTCTCCTCTTCCTTTTGGCACCCATCTGGGCAATAGGACTGATAAGAAGTATGACCGAGGCCAGGTTTTAGAGAAAGCCCTACTAATTCTCATGAGAGATGATGAGCTTGCCAAGTCTCTTTGCTCAAGTCCATCAAGCTCTGGCCTTCCCAGAAAGGGACAGTTTACCTCCTGATAGAAAATGAAAGGGCAGGACGGGCTTGTGAACTCGGGAGTAGCAAACTGTTAAGGAGACGTGTCACTAAAGCACTTCACAATCTGTAACAGAAGCTGATGTTCTTTTCCCTCCGACACAGAACCTCCCTAGCCCGCTTCAGCAGCTTGAGAAGAAAACAAAAACAAAGCATTCTCTTTCTGGGAATAGTTCTCAGAGAACATGGGATGGCTCTAGGGACAATCTGAACAGAGATGTCTATTGAGGCCTCTAAGTCACACTGGGCCCGGGAAAGTATCTTCCAACAGCCCGCTTTTTTTTGCACGGGGGGGAGAGCCCTTATTACAGGAAAGAGAGAAGCTAAGAGAATTTCAGCAATGCAAGAGCAAGGATGAACCCATTTACCTATGAGGTTACAGACAGAGCTGCAAAACCTATTACAGGTTACTATCTACTACCAGTGTGAAGGAGCAGGAAAGGAGCCACACAAAAACATCAATCCATCTGCGTGATTAACAGAGCCCTACAAAGCTCTTAGCTGTCACTTAAGCAAGACATACTCTTTCAAAGACGCTGGCAAAGGCAGCTCCTTCACTGCATCTGGAAGGAACTGGACCCCTAGACTGTGGCGCACTGCGTAGCGCGACAACGTCTTCAAAGTGCCTGGGGCAGAGCACAGCGTGGTCAGCTTTTCACAAAGTTGAGGATCTCGCAAGACTTCGCGGGGCATGGCGCCGTTCTTCCGCAATTCAAAATGTCCGACGGCTCGGTGCAAGAGGTCGAAGCAGGCATCTTCCCGCTCGGTGCCGAGTCCTCTGACCAGGAGGGCTACCAACCGGGAGATGGGGGTCTGCCCTTTCAAATTGACCACACGGACCTCAGCCCCATATTCTAGGAGGATGCTCACACTCTCCAAGTTCCCCTTCATGGCCGCCCAGCTCAGAGGGGTGTCATTGTTGTAATCCAAAGCATTGACAAAGGCGCTGCTTTCTAAGAGTGTTCGGACACATTCGGCATTGTTCTTAAAGGCGGCCCAGTGGAGTGGAGTGTCTTTGTTCCCATCCAGTGCGTTGGGATTAGCCCCATATTCTAAGAGGATCTCCACACAGGTCTCGTCCTTCTCCGCCGCATAGTGAAGGGCCGTTCGGTTGTATCCATCAAGGGCGTTGACCTGCAAAAGCAGAGAAGGGAGGGTCTTCAGCGTTCACAGTTCAAGATGAGCAGCTGGGAGGAGAAAATGACCTAAAATGCTCCACAAGGAAGGACAGCTTGGTGGAATCTTTTCCATTTTGGGCCTAATGACTCCTTACCTGCTCTGTGCTCCTCATTCTTCTAACAGAAGGTTAGAGACCTCCAGCCCTTAGGCTGACTAAATTCAGCTCAGAGAAAAAAAGGCAGAGAGCTCCTTACCTCTTCACTGGAGTGATTGAGATTTCCCCACATGTTGCTACCCATTTCAAAA